TTCGGGAACCAATGTTTGACTTTGACCACTTTAACTATTTCTCGTACCACCCGTGCACAGTATGTGTGTGTGTGTGCGTATGTACGTAACGGTCGTGTCTACATTTAGATGAGGGTCTTCCGTGTTTCTTCCGTGACTTAGACAATGCTGCGAGAGCTGCTCGAGTTGCGTCTGCGGGTCAGAGGCAAGGTGTGGTGAAAGGGTATGGGCGAGTCAGGGGGACAGAGAAAAAAAAAAAAAAACAGTTACATTTTAAATAAGTCCGTAAAGAAAAATACGTGTGCCTGTCCTGTTTACGTTTTGGTGGACGAGCATGAAGATTTTCTTACGAATCCAAAGGGGGCGCCCAGCGGAGACGGTTCGGGAACCAATGTTTGACTTTGACCACTTTAACTATTTCTCGTACCACCCGTGCACAGTATGTGTGTGTGTGTGCGTATGTACGTAACGGTCGTGTCTACATTTAGATGAGGGTCTTCCGTGTTTCTTCCGTGACTTAGACAATGCTGCGAGAGCTGCTCGAGTTGCGTCTGCGGGTCAGAGGCAAGGTGTGGTGAAAGGGTATGGGCGAGTCAGGGGGACAGAACTGGTGGGGGTGGTTGTAAGGGGGCGGCGGGGGCGGCAGGGGCAACTGAGGGCTGTCCTCGTCCCTGACGCACACGGGCGTCGACATGGCCGACTGGATGAACTGATGACTTGTCGGGCCTTGGCTAAGGAACGTTTCCATATGTCCTCGCCCGCTCTGGTCCACCACGATCACCTTGACGATCTGCTGACACTGGATGAGTGTTTCTGAGCACAGCTCTCCAGGCTGCATAGTGCCGAGCAGGTTAGGAGGAGCGGTCAGTGCCAAAGCTGTGGACTCAGTGCTGGGCTGGCTCAGCTGATAGGTCTGCAGCCTGTTGTGAATTGACACCTAGTTTAGAAACAGTCAGAGAACGCATGAGGAGTTACCAGCCTGAACGCAGCCTAAATGCAGCCCTCTGGTGTGTTAAGCATTGGACATGCACGCATGCGAGTAGGTAAAGTGCACAGCAAGTCTGGTGTGTTAAGCATTGGACATGCACTTGCATGCGAGTAGGTAAAGTGCACGGCAAGCACATGCAACAAAAAAAAAAAAAAAAAACACATTTACTAATATTTACTTATTTCACCTTTCATTCATGATTTAAAATTGTCATGCCCGAGAATCTACAGGAAATTGATGTAGTCTTTTAGTTTAGACATAACATATGTGTGTGTATATATATATAACTGACCAATCGATAAAATCGTCCAATCAGAATTTTAGGTTGACCCGCGACGTATCCACCACTAAACGGGAGATTATAGCCGCATATAAGCCTCTACAGTGTGATTCTCAGGCGTCCACTGTAGAGGCTCATATGCAACACTGCCATCAAAACCTATTCTTATCATAGAAAATGACATTTTCATAGCTGTCCACTGTAGTGACCGTCATGCATGAAAGGGGTTAATCGGTCTACAGTTTCCCACAATCCACCTGACAATTTTGTCAGTCAGCTGGTCAGTTATGTGCCGTTGCTTGCCGTCGGGATGGTATCATTGTTAAAATGCATTAAAATGTTTTCATCGGAATAATCTTAACAAATGTGGAAATATATTTCCTGTATTGCTCGATGAAGACGGTTTATGCTTTATAATACTCCACACTATTTCAATTAGGGATTGGTCTAAATTACAGGCCTATCTCCACACCATCACAGGTACCGGCCTTTAATTTCGGTAACGTGACAATACGGATGGATCTTTCCTTCCTCAGTCCAAAGGACGTGATGTCCGTGATTCCCAAACTCCCAAAAAATTTGAAATGCTGACTTCTCAGACCACATCACTCTATTCTGAATCCATCTCGAACCACCTCAGGCCAAATCCCAAGTATGAATCCCCAATCATACTTGCTTGCGAATGACTGAGCATTTTTGGGATGCCTTTTTTTTTTTACACCCCCATCGTGACACTCACCTGCTTCCAATGAACCTAGTAACCTGTGGGATGTTCCTAACAGATCAATCCCTCAATCAATTTCTAACACGGTACTAGTACTACTACCATAGTATCGCGGTAGTAGTGAACTCTACAAATAACAAGAGCGGGTGAAAGACTTACATCTATTTCTCAAAAAAAAAAAAAAGACAAACATGCAACAGCCAAGACGGACGCATGAGTTAGACAATAAGACAAGCTTGTGGGCAGGGATGTGTTGATATGATCAATGAGTGATTGGATTAGAAGCCTAAAGATAGAAAGGGGATAAGGTAACACCGAGGGCTAAGAGTCTCTTTAACACACAAGGGGACAACTGTATAGGTCTGAGTAAGAGTTGTGGGTGTGCTGAGAACAAATAGCCAAAGACCAAAATGTTGGTTTTTCCTTTCAGGGGGAGAACGAACATAGACTTGACAGTTGCATCTAGTTTATCAGCTTTGTAGGTGGCCGATTGTAAAGCGTCTATTATTGTTTGCCTTAAAGAAAAAAAAGGGACAGTTTAGCATGGTATTCGTCTACTGCAACACTTGTAAGATACTTATGGCATGATCGTAAAGCTGTCTAGTGGTAATAGGCCTAACACGCAGCTCCTATTCAGGGTGGCTACCGATTCTCTATCGCACTCCACGACCACATCTACCCTAAGACATGATGGGCCAACTCTCATTTAGGGGACAGGAGTAGCTATGGAACTCACCTCTACTGTGTTGTTGCCTCTGTTATCAGGCAAATTATGGCCTGTGGGCAGAAAGAGAAAGACATTTTGCTGACTTGTTTAACCGCTGCGCGCCCGCTCTCTCAAGCGTCACATTCGATTCCTTGCCTATACAATTCAGACTGTTGTAATACATATGTTGCTCCTCGAGGGAAAGCAGCACCTGAGGAAGAGCCGTGTCCAGTGTGTCCACTATTGACGTGCGGGTCATGCAGCTGAATACCTTGTTGCCTCTCCAGTTCCCCTGCAACACCCAAAAACAAGATAATGTGCGCAACTGCGTTGCAACTGCGGTTGCACCTTATGCAAAACAGAGCCATCAGTGTGTGTGTGTGTGTGTGTGTCTCCTTTTCTTACACTGAATGTGTATGTGCTCCATCTCATTGACTTCAGCGATGGCCTCCCGAAGCTCCTCTGCAAACTTCCTTAGCTCCTCTCCACTTGGAGAACAGAAGCTTACTAGCTGCTTCCTTTCTGATGTAAACGGACTCATCATTGTTATGCCATGGGCGTAATCTTTAAAGAAAGGCAAAATTAAAAAAATAGAATAGAATAACAGTAGCATGTTATTACTCTAGTTTGTCTACAAGATGGTAAACAACTCCGATTGTTAACAATGGCATTAGCTGTTAGCGTTGTGAAGTGCTAACGCCGGCATCACTAGCGTAAACATCGACATCCCCGGTGTAAACACCAGGATAGGTATTTTCCGGAGTATAAGTCGCACTTTTTTTTTTCATCCTTTGGCTGGGTTTGCGACTTATACTGAGGTTCGACTCACAGTATATATTAAAATATATAATCTTACGTTTGTTCTTTTTTACACTGACAGTCGCTAGAGGGCACTATAGCTGGCTGGTTCGACTTGTACTGCCGAGTCCCGACTTGTATATGTTTTTTTTTTTCAGGTGGGACCAAGTCATTGCTTTGCAAGTCACAAGTAAGTCTCAAGTCTTTGCACTCAAGTCCGAGTCAAGTCTCAAGTCAAGACAGGCGAAGTCCGAGTCGAGTCCAAGTCAAGACCGAAAAGTGTCGTGTCAAGTCCCGAGTCCTGCGGTTTCTGTTTCGAGTCCTTTCGAGTCCTTTTAAAGAAAATCATAATATATTTACACAGATCACTGCCGCTCGTTTTTTTGTTGACCACCTTGTAGTTTTTAAATCCGAACAACACCATCTTTGGTATCATTTTTCTCTCACCCGCGCGTTGTTTGACAGCTCTTCCTCATCGGTTGTCCCGCAATTTGATTTGCTCGATGCAATCGCGTCAAAATGACGTGGGGTCCGATTTGATTGGCTGTTGTGTCGACAGCACGTACACACACACGGACGCACGCACGTACGTGATGAGAGATACAGAGCGCTCCTTAATAACTTACTTTATAATCTTCGGGTTTGGGAGAAAGTATCGAGTCTTGTCGAGTCAAAGGGCTCGAGTCCAAGTGAAGTCACGAGTCACTGACGTTAAAGTCCAAATGCGAGTTGCAAGTCTCTTTACATTTGTTTTCAAGTGGAGTCTAAAGTCGTCAAATCGATGACTCGGGTCTGACTCGAGTCCAAGTCATGCGACTCGAGTCCACACCTCTGCTCCACAGTGACTGATGTTTTATATTATGTATTAAAGAACATCAGCCCCCCACAGTAGAAAATGATCCACGGGGTTTGCGTAAACCATAAGGCAAACACAGGACAACCTGCATATCAGTGCATTAGCCATGTAAAGGAGTCCTTATCCGAAACTGAAAAGAAGTCTGACTCCGAAAGAGGTTGCACAAATCAGAGCTGACCCATTCAAATTCAAGGTTTTTCAGACTCCTTAAAGATTTGAAGTCTTTTCAGGAAGGATGTTCTCATCGTCAGTGCTAACACAAACAAAACGCCGCAGAATATATATATATATATATAGTGGCTTCTTACATTCATTACTGAAGAGGTGAAACTGCATTCCCAGGAGACCCATAGCTTTACAGAAGGTGTACGAAGCTGAGCTTTTTTTCTTGGGACACAGTTTGAGGATCTGCAGTCAACACACAGGAAGTTAATTACAGACGACGTGAAGCGCTTTATGTTTGTGTTAGAGGGAACGGTTTATTCTCCAAGTTGGTTTTTGTTTTACCAGAAGCAGGTCATTGAAGAGGAAGACTTCCCTCTGAAGCTGGGACAGTTTCTGCTTGTGAGCCTTGTTAGCATCAGGCACCTCAAACAGTCGACAGCAGCACACCAGGCGTCTGTGAGGCACAGCAAGAACCTAGTAGGCAAAGAGAAGATGACAGGTAGTACTACAAAACAGACTCTACGAACAGCAAGATATAAAATAGGGCAAATAGGGTAAGATGTTACTCATTGGAAATGCCTAGGATTGAACAGAATGGGGTAAGGGGGATTTGAGGATTAGGTAGGTTTAGCGGCATAGGGATAAACCGTTACAGAGGAAAGGTTGAGGTAGACACACAAAGTGTTAAAGATATGGGGGGGGGGGGGTGTAAGTGCCCAGGGATGGTTCATGGTGCAGGACCGTATAAATTGATGCTGTAATACAGGAGGCAGGAGATACAGTGGAAGTGAATCCACTGTGACAACCTTGGATGAGGGAACTAAAAGGAGAAGAATTATAAGCAAGATTTGAAATTGTCCCCCATATAGAAGTTTGCGATTATCTAACCTTAGAAGTCGTCTAAAAAGGGAGCCACCATCTCCACTCCCTTCTCGAAGTAAATAAATCTTTCTTTATAGTTCATGAATATCTAAATTCTAGCAAGTAAGCAAGTAATAGTACTCCAATAAATTGGAGTTAGAATTGGTTAGCCTTTTTGCAGACGACACCCTCATTTATGTTATTCCTTCTCATTTGAATAGAGGTTTAAGACCTGGTTAACCTGGATATTAGATTCATAAAATAAATTAAAGTATTAAAAGGGTTACATTCCTTCTAGAACGCTAAAATATATAACACTCTATCTAGGGCTTCGGTGATAGCAATAGGGGAAAAACTTCTCGATCCAGACTCAGCATGTACAGCTGTCTAAATTACGCAAGATGTCAAATATATTTTTGACCATACAGTCGACTTGGCGTTTCTTATCGGTGATAATGCGATCGATGGAAAACGCTGTCCCAGGTATTTATGCGCATGTAAGCCGACCCCCCCCCCAATTTGATCTTTATTCTTTGGCGTTTTAAATTCAGCTTATATGCGAGTATGTACAGTAAATACTCCATCCCGCCTGGAAGCATCATCACTCCAAGGCACTGACTGCTGATCGACATCATTCTCACTTGAAAATTATCCTGCTTCAGACTTTTTTACGCTAAAAGACATTTCAATGTTTGCATTATGAAAACATGTCACATTTCATTTCGGATCAGTCCTGTTCTTTCTGGATAGATAATATAATTTCTTTGCTCTTTTCTGTTCACTGTCTGCTAAATAAATCCCTACTAATGCCTCTAATTTTAATTAATTAAGGAAAAAAAAATGCAGATAAGAGAACGTAGACTATTACTCACAGTTTTTAGGCCCAGGATTGATTGCTCCACACGACTCACATAGGTGACATGGTCCTCATTGGAAAGCAGCTCTCTCTGTTGAATCCTTTCATAAATGCCTATAACCATCTCCCTGGGGATGTCTGCCCCATCATCCACACCTGAAAAAAAAAACAGCGACCTATGTCATGTCATATAATCAGTAGGGGTGCAACCGTTTGAACCTTTCGATACAGATGTCTTGGTTCGGAACACATTATCAATATATATATACATATATACATATATATACATATATATACATACATATATATACACATATATACTGTATATATACAATTTATTTTATCAACTTGTGATGATGCAGGATGTGCTGAAAGCTCAGTGAATCTGCACTCAACTACTCTAGCGTCCAGGCTGCTTTGTCGAGGTCAGATGCACTAAGCTGTGCCTCCCAACATTCATTCATGCCGACGCGCTACATGCGAAACTAGCTTGTGGCAACATGGCTAATGACTCAAATTAGGGGTGAGATTAATCGCGAAATTTTCAAAACGATTATTTTTCATGACGAACTGACAGAAACACAACCGCAGCAAGCAGTAGGAAAATAATATAAAAAGATGCGTATGCTGCCCGGAAAGATTTTTTCGGGTGTCCAGGCGGCATGCCGCCTTAAAATTTTTTTTTAAGGTGGTCTGTTCTTTAATATGGAAAGGGCCGTGAATGCTGTTCATTGAGGATTTTGTTTTGATATCGCTATTCAATATTACTGCAGAAGCTAGCTTTACTATTTTTAAAGCTTCAATTTACTTTTTAATGCTTATAAGTATTGTACTTTCCAGATTATGAGTCACGCTGGGTTGCACTTTAGCCGAGTTTGCAACTTAGACTCAGGTGCGACTTATTATTGAAACATATAATTTCACATTTTTTGCTATTTTCACACTGACAGCCACTAGAGGGCGCTGGTGCGTCTTATACTCCGGAGCGACTTATATAGGTTTTATTCTTCTTCATTATGGCTGGTGCAACTCATAGTCCATGAGAGCGTAATTCTCTTCCATAGATGTCCCAGCTGCAGCTGTGTCTCGTGCGCATGGAAAAATTTTAACTCGCTTTCTATTTTTTTTTTGTCGTCAATCGTGTCCACTCAGGAGCTCCGTAGCTTTGCTATCTTTAGTTTACTATTTCTTTAAGCCATGATATCAATATTTACTTTGCATAGCGATTGATTAGATAAACATCAGATCTGATCTTATATTCTTGCCCAGTCCTTAATCAAAGAAAACAAATCAAACTTTTAACAGAACTTAAATGGGAAACATTAAAGCTTTGCCAAAGATATCCCCAGAGTGAATCCTCCTGCTTGTGTCTGCTGAGTGTCGGTGTCGATCAGTGTCATTACACTCACCTGTGTCCTGTGATTACCTGTCCATTAGTCTCACTCGTGTCACCTGGTGCCCTGGGTATATATATACACCTCTCTCCTTGACGCTTGTATTTGTCAGGTCGTTGTTCTGTGTTACTGCTATGTTGTCGGTGCCCTGTTTTCATAGTTCTTGTTTCTAGTTCTGGGTTGATGCCAGTACATGCTTTGTTCCTACCTAGTCCTGTTCCCAGTGAGTTTTTGCTATTTGGATTTTGAATGAATGAACTTTTTCTGCAATTGATCGCTGCATTTGGGTTCATTTAAAAGTAACTTTATGTAGGTCCACATTAATGCAATGAATCAACCTATGACCTGGTATATAATATATTATATTTAAAAAAGAAAATGTCAGTTGAAAAAACTTTGATGGACAGTATGTAGAGAAAATATTACTTTCAACGTTCCTTTTCACTTCTCATCAAGAGCCTGGAGCTATGTAAACGGGCTATGTAAAAAAAAAAAAGTCTTACTTTTGTCATACAATCTAAAACTAATGAGTCCAACATAATACATAATGCCCATTCCTCTTTTTTTCCTGCTCATTTGATTTGAAATATGTTTTCTACTAATTTAACATTTAACTAAATAACCATGCTATAAATGTGTGTTACGTACCAAAACTGAATTAAAAAAAAAAGAAAAAAGACCAACCTCTTAGGTTACGTATGAAATCGTCGAGGCCCATTTTACGTTGGGGCTTGATGTTGGGAGAGTACATGTCTGTGTTGAGGAGGACCACAGCAAATGCCAGGATAAAGATGGTGTCTGGGTTGTGAAACTGCTGCACCACATCGGGATTACACATGCAGTACCTCTGGCTGTGGATGAAAAAACAGGAAGAACAGAATGAGTTTTATGTACAGTATATATTTATACGCATTTATATATTTTTTTTTCAATAACAGGTGATATTTGCTGTGAAGATTGGATGCCGTTTTGCTGCGAGATAGAGAACGTTTTGGACAAATGAGAGAGATATAGTTGTCAGGTAAAAGGAAAATAGGAAGACCCTAGACAAGTATCGTATTGTGAGCCAAAAAAATGCATATGAGGAAGAAAAAAAAAAAACAGCACGACACCAGCGCCATTTAGCAGCTGCCGATGTGAAAATACCGAACAAGTACATTTTCAGTGGTACAGGAATAGCAGATACTGGTCGCAAGCCTAGAGTGCCCTCTAGCGGCTGTCAGTGTGAAAATAACAAACCTGTGAAATTATATATTTTAATTTATTTATAAGTCGCACATGGGTATAAGTCGCAAACCCAGCCAAAGGATGAAATAAAGTGCGACTTATAGTACGGAAAATACAGTAAGTGCGGAAAATAGGGCATGGAGCAGTAGAGAAGACAAGGGTGAGATGGGGGCAGATCATCCACTGTGGCAACCCCAGAAAAAAGCATCTGAGAGTAGAAGAAGAAGTTGTGCAATTTCTAATAAAGACAACAAGAGTTTTATATACAAATACAACCTACAAATCATGAGAAACCTGCCGATCATCTGCAGCTCAAATCTCTCTATCCGAGATGATTTGGTGAAAATGAGAATCCACCGAGTATAGGATAGATAGATATATAGAAGAACATTATTAATCCCTCAGGTGGTCTCTTCAGAAAATTAGGGAATAATGAAGGATGGAAGCAACCGGGATGATTAGCTAAAGACTGATTGTCTCCGGTGTTAGACTGTAACTGTGAGCTCCAAGAACAAATCAAAAATAATTAGCCTAACTTTTTACCAAAACCTGCTGCTCAGTGCGTTACACAATTAGACCACCGTTAGCTACAGATGAGAATTTAGTGCAAAACAAAGCTGGTTGAGAGAAATGAATGGATGAAAGAATAAGGAAATGTATAAATGAATTCATATCACATACATTTATAAATTACGCAGTATGTCCCGTACACAAAGGTACCTGTTGTTTTGAGGACGAACTTTGATCACTGTAGTTCACAAATGTTAACCAGAATCATATTCAACTTAACACAGTATTTTGCAACAATTATAACAGAAATGTCCTACTGTGCACCCCCAAACAAAAATGTCCCAAAGAAGCATTTGCAATGTGTTCAATGTAGGTCTGTTTAGTTGAACACAATACTGATATATTTGAAGAAATAACGACTGAGTCTTTTTTTGTTTTTATAACCTTCTGCTTCCACCTAGTGGGAAAGTTTTATTGTTCTAACTCTGTCGCATAGCTAGCTAGCTAGCTAGCTAGCTAGCTAGCTAGATAGATAGATAGATAGATAGATAGATAGATAGATAGATAGCTAGATAGCTAGATAGCTAGCTAGATAGATAATATTTTTGTGTATTATCCATCTATCTCTCAGTATCTGTATTTCTTTCAGAAGTTTGGAAACGGTTGGAAATCATTGTCTTAATTAATAGTTTTGTTTTTGTTTTTGTTTTTTTGTTGTTTTTTTTACTTTATTGATCCCACATTGGGGAAATTCTCATGTTAACAGTAGATCTGTTGCTATGGGAACCACACAGGCACCGAGTTTGTGGTTCCTCCTGGAATCAAACCCAGGACTCTCTGCTTGGAAACGCAGGCGAGCTAACTGCTACACTACACAGAGTCTTGCTTACAAATACCATGCTAAATAATGTTTCTTTCAGGGTGATGTTAATTAAAATTCTAAGTATCAAAAATAAAATAGGGATTCAAACCCTTTAAAAATAACCCAGTGGTATCCAGCGGAAGGTTCTTGTTTCAATACCTCCTAATCCACCGAGTGGGTCTCGAAACTTGATGCCCATGTGGGTTGCTAAAAAGAAGGGGCCAGTGTAAGTAAATGTGAGTTATGAGTCTTACCTAAACGCTTCAATGAGTCTCTCCACCTTTTGAGCTTCTCCCTGAATACGAACGTGAGCCTGAAACTTTCTGAGGGCCTCGTCCAGCTCCATGCCAGAAAAATCCATCTCATCCACCACACAACTGTAACGTAAGACAGATGATAAGAGAGGGGAAAAAGGCATCAGAAAGCAGCAAGAGCTACGAGAATTACTTACTACAAGGACAATGTCTGTGCATGTGGGTCAGTGCGTATGCAGACCAAACATTATATGACTGTGTCATAATTGCTGACGGCAATGTTTCTCTTTTATAGTTAAAAACCGATGACCTGGAAGATCTACATAAAGGGAGTGTGACAACGGGCAACGTGAGAAGGAAAAAATAGAATATAGAAGGAATATTGTAATTGAACACAAAGAGCAAGACGGAGAGTCAGGGATATAAAAGGCAAAGGAAAATGTACACACAAGTCAGTGTTTATGTTTAATCTTTACGATACCCATTGACATTTTAACAGAATTCATATCTTATTCTGTAATTCTGCTTTATTGACAATAACTGGGTGTAACTTCTGCATACTACCGTATTTCCGGACTAAAGGTCGCACTTTTTTCATCCTTTGGCTGGGTTTGCGACTTATACTCACACATATACTGTATATTAAAATATATAATTTCACATGTTTTCATGCTGAGAGCCACTAGAGGGCACTCTAGGCTTGTGTACTAGTATCTGCTACTCGTGTAAATTGCGCTTTTTTTATCCTTTTGGCTTGTGCAACTTATAGCCTAGAGTGACTTATGTATGTTTTTTTCTTCTTCATTATGCATTTTTTTTTTGCTGGTGCGACTTATACTCCGGAGCAATTTATAGTCCGGAAAATACAGTATTCAGTTCATGTTTACTAATGCTGTTAAAAAAAAAAGTCATATGGAACATATGGTTTTGTTTGCGTGTTCTGTACTATGTATGGTGTGTCGGCCTGCATAAAGATTTAGGACGCACTCAAGCACATCTCTGTTGAACTGCAACTTGCTGTTCCCCAAGAACTCTCCAATCATCTGTCGACTGAGGCCCTTCCTCTGCAGCAAAAAATGGGCCACTCCTATTGCCGTGTCTGGGACGAAGCCACGCGTTATTAAGAAGTGGACACCTTTTTCTGGGTTCCTGTGCACAAGAGAACAGAGAGCGTAGCCAATAAATCAGGTTGCAGGTTGCGTGTCTGCATATGTGCGTGTTTTGAAGCGCGTTTGCGGTGCATGTAGGGTCTGCTAGAAGGAATAAGGTAAGTGCATGGATCCAGGTTAGCTTAGGGTTCTTGGATGGAAAGAATTGTCTTGCGTGCATGAGTTAATTTGATATATACATAACAGAGGTGAGACCAAGTCATTGCTTTGCAAGTCACAAGCAAGTCTCAAGTCTTTGCACTCAAGTCCGAATCAAGTCTCAAGTCAAAAT